TGAGAGGAGAATTGGAAAGGATGAAGGCCTTCTTTGCAAACTAACCATTGAGGTCCTTCAAGCCATACAACTTCATCGCAAACGGATTAAGAAATTGAGCAATTGCTTTTGTTTTAAAAGTTGAAAAATAAAAGCAAGCGAAATACGACTGAAGTGGTCAACAATAGCTACCCCAGCACCTAAGGTCTAGTGTTTGTATCCCCTTTCTAAACATTTTTGTCAAAAAAAGAAGGTAATTTACTAAATTGGACTAATAAAATGTGTCTTTTTTGGAAAAGAAATAGGAAGCTGTTGGGTAGCTCTTAGAAAGTAAACTTTCAAATACCGTATAGAATGTATTAACCACTTCTTAAATGGGAGATTCTCCAATAATATTTAAGTTAAGAATTGGTTACATATCTAATCTCGGGCGTTGAATTGCATTCATTAGATGTGTTGGTAGATTTAATATGCAACATAAAAGCAATCTAACAGTGGTGATTATAAATATGTAACCAATCCTTAACATAAAATACTAATCGGAGAATCTCCCCATGTCTAATAAAAACTTAAGAAGATATTTGTTAACACAACCTTTTGTGAATTCACACACGCAGATAATAAATATAATGCTTATTTTTTTTCCTCAGTCAATCTTCTCAATTACTTGTGAAGAGGGTCCTGATGTAAGATACCAATGCGTGTGTATTTATTATATGTATTGATGTTGGCATTCATTTGAAGTAATATGTGTCAGCTTGGATAAGATCACTAGTATTCCAGCCCACACATATGTTGTCTGCCCTATCCTTATTCATTCTAGACTACTAGTCATCAATGGAACAGAAAAGAAAAGAGCCAACAATCTTATTCCCACAAATTTGGGATATGTAAACTGGGTTTCGTGGAAATTGCCCACCAGCTGTTTGAAATTAAGCTTCACTGGAACTTCCCAAATTTAGGTAATTACCAACAAGTTTATTTCCCTTTATCAAATCAATTAGTCGCTTTTACTTTTTGGAGCCTGCTTAACCGTTTATGCTAGGCTTTGTAACAAAGAATATTATATTAGCACAAATACTAGTATAAAACTGCAGGGATTGAACTCAATGGACTTACTTGGATGCAGTGCAGCAGCTAGCCAAGTCACTTGGATATGCAGCCAATGTCTTGCTGCAATACAATTTCAGAGTGACAAGTTAGACTGTTGCAATGAAGTGAAAAACAATCCATATTGATGGCAGAGAGTTCTGTTAACTTTCTTCTGGAGAAGCTTGCAACCCTATTCGAAAAGGATGTACACCTGTTTGGAGGAGTTCGAGAAGAAGCTGTGTATCTGAGAGGAGAATTGGAAAGGATGAAGGCCTTCCTAAGGATCGCAGACGCACTGCAGGAAAGTGATGAGGAACTCAAAGTCTGGGTGAAGCAACTAAGAGATATTTCTCATGAAACTGAAGACATTCTAGATGAATATACTCTTCTCCAGGGGCATGATCATGATTACGGTCGAGGAATATTTGGCTCTATATGCAGGTTGGGTTGCTGTATTAAGAATGCCAAAGCTTGTTACCGTATTGGTTCCGAGTTGCAAGCCATCAACTCAAGAATCAAAGAGATTTGTGAGGTTCACAAGAGACTTCGTCACAAATTCAGAAAGGCTGAACAAAATCCTGGATCTGACGACAGTGCAGGAAATACATGGCAAGACTGTCGAGGAGATGCCCTTCTTTTAGATAAATCTGATCTTGTTGGCCTTGATGAGCCTAAAAATCAGCTGGTGGGGTGGCTATTTAATGGCAGTTCTGGCCGCGAAGTAGTTTCGTTGGCTGGAATGGGAGGAATGGGGAAGACCACCTTGGCCAAGCAAGTCTATGATGACCCAGAAGTGAAGAAGCATTTTGAAGTCCGTGCGTGGATCACTGTTAATCAGTCCTTCAAATTTGGCGACCTACTCAAAGACATGGTTCAACAACTCTTTAAAGCAATCAGAAGACGAATTCCACAAATCGTGGCAAACATGAATAACTGTCAGCTGAAGACAACAATAAAGGAATTGCTGCAAAACCGGAGGTACCTGGTTGTTCTGGATGATGTATGGCATCTATATGAATGGGATGCTATAAAATATGCACTGCCTAGCAATGGTTGTGGCAGCCGAATTATGCTCACTACAAGAAATGCAGATGTAGCCTCCACCACGGGTGTACTATGTGAAGGTAAGGCCTATAACTTAAAGCCCTTACCTCCTCCCGAGTCTTGGGATCTTTTTTGCAGAAAGGCATTTCAGTGGAACAAATGCCCTCCTCATTTGGAGGAAATTTGTAAGTACATCTTAAGAAAATGTGAGGGACTTCCCCTTGCAATTGTTGCAATCAGTGGTGTGTTGGCAACAAAAGATAAACGTAGAATTGACGAGTGGGATATGGTTGGCCGCAGCCTTGGGGCTGAAATTGAGGGAAATGACAAGCTCAAGGATTTGAAAAAAGTTCTTTCACTCAGCTTTAACGATTTGCCATACTACCTCAAATCCTGCTTCTTGTACCTGAGCATCTTTCCTGAGGATCATCTGATTGAACGAATGAGACTAATCCGGTTATGGGTAGCAGAGGGATTCATCGAAGCAAAGGAGGGAAAAACACTGGAAGAAGTAGCAGATGACTATCTCCATGAACTCTTGAATAGAAGCCTAATGCAAGTGGCTACTACTACACCTGATGGAAGGGTCAAAACATGTCGGATCCATGACCTTTTGCGTGAGATCATCATCTCCAAGTCAAGAGATCAGAATTTTACCACAATTGTGAAAGACCAAAGCTTGCAATGGTTTGACAGAGCTAGACGCCTATCAATACATAGCACGCTACAAATTGTTCAGCCTAACAGGTCAGTTTCCCAGTTGCGTTCCCTGTTTATGTTTGGTGCCTCTGAAAAGCCATCCATCTCTAAATTATTCCCAAGTGGTCTTAGGCTGCTAAATGTGTTAGACTTGCAAAACTCACCTTTGGAAAAATTTCCAGTTGAAGTTGTGGACTTGTATTATTTGAAATACCTGAGCTTGAGGGAAACAAAGGTAAAAACTGTTCCCAGATCTATTGGGAGGCTTCAGAGTCTAGAAACTCTAGATCTTAAGCATTCCAATGTCAACCAACTTCCGGTTGAGATCCTGAAGCTCCAGCGTTTACGCCATCTTCTGGTATATCAACATGAATTTGTATCTTACGAACATTTTCATTCAAAAAAGGGTTTTAAAGTCATGTCAAACATAGGAGTTTTGCAAGCATTACAGAAGCTTTGTTTCATAGAAGTAAACCAAGATGGGGGCACCATAATAAGAGAGCTTGGGAAGCTAAATCAACTTAGGAGGTTAGGCCTCTTAAAATTGAGAAAAGAAGATGGGAAGGCTCTATGTTCATCTATTGAAAAGCTGACAAATCTTCGCGCCCTGTCTATAGCTTCAGTCGAAGAAGACGAGATCATTGATCTTCAACATCTACCTTCTCCTCCTTTGTTGCTTCAGCGGCTGTATATGAGAGGACGTTTGGACGCATTACCCCACTGGATTCCTTCTCTTCCCAGCCTAGTCAGATTGTCTTTGAAATGGAGTCAGTTGAAGGATGATCCACTCATATATCTGCGATACATTCCGAATCTTGTTCAACTTGAATTATGTCAAGCATTCCTTGGCGACAGATTGTGTTTCAGGGCTGATGGGTTTAGAAAGTTGAAGATTTTAAGCATGGACAAGTTTGATGAACTGAGATGCATAGAAGTGGAGATGGGTGCAATGGCTTCTCTTGAGAAGCTAAGCATCCAACGCTGCAAGCTTCTGGAGAATGTGCCATCAGGGATTGAACATTTAACGAAGCTGAAAGTTCTCGAGTTTTCTGATATGCCGGTGGATTTGATGAAGACGATTAGGACAGATGGAAAAGATAACTGGAAAGTCTCCCACATTCCAGAAGTTTATTCAACTTACTGGAGAGAAGGTGGCTGGGAAGTCTACTCCATAGAGAGCATGACTGATGGGGAGTACTGTCCCCTGCCCAGCAATCCCTTTAGCCATGAACTTCAAACTCGTTGGAAGTCCTGGAAATGATACTTGTGCTGCGACTGGGAATGGGAATGGGGTTATACATATCCTTGTAAATACGATTATATATACTTGTATCTGTAAATACTTGTAAATTAATACGTAATGTAGTTGGGTCCAGGATCAGAGAGATTACCTGTGGCTGGTAGTTATAAACTGGTAGGTCTGTATAGCATATGGCACAACTTGTACAAATTAAAATGGGTGTGAAGCTGCAGTGATCTGTAAGTAATATTAGTATCTGATTGTTTCTCCAATTTCATTTCCCATGCAACTTAACAACTCAATCCTATCAGTATCTCCACAGTAACTAATTCTGTAAATAGTATTAGTATCTGATTGATCCCTAGTTCTGTTGCAATTATAGCAATGTTCAAAGGAAGGAAGCTCTCAAAAACTATAGCAATGTTCTGCAATAACGGTAGTACAAGTAGAGCTCATTTTAAATAATGTTTTTTTCTCTTCTTATTTTTCTCTTTTTCTGCTTTGGGTGATCTGTCTGGGAATTGACAATGAGCTTGGAGATTTACTGAGGTGTTGCTTGGCTCAAGCTTGGAGAATTACTAAGGTGTTGCTTGGCTAGTGTGTTGTTAGAGGGGACCTAGTCTACACTATCCAAAGCCGGAGGCTGTATGGATTCGATGCCGCAACCTCCTAGCAACAACTTGCCTGCCTGAGCAAGATGACTGCTTGTCACTTGCGAATTGTTACTGTGCCCCGGCCCTTTCACTCTATATTTCTTTTTCAGTCTTTCAATCGCACCTTTAAATTACAGGCACTGGTTAGTTTTAAGTTTCTTCCGGTAATACTTGGATTTGGAACGCTCTTACTAAACATGCCAAAATATACATTTTCTACAGTACCGTACCACCTCTCTCAACTTGAGGTTGAGGCTGTTATATTATAGTTCATATCCAATAATACCAAAATAACCAGTAGAAGCTACATTTCTTTTTCTTTAAGGAGGAATTTGATCATTACAAAGGTAATATGGAATCGTATCTATTATCCACCGATACCTGTCAAAATTTTCCAACTGAGTAACCAGTGCCGGTGTATCAAAAAATTTCCAGCTGAGGGGCTAATCGTCTAAAGAATGACCGTACCTAACTCTGCCACCAGACTTTGCACTCTACAGCTGATGACAACTGTTTGCATGTCTACTGTTGATACATACAAATATACAAATAAATTTAACCAAACGGGCACAAGACCTTTTATGATAGGTTATCTCCTAAATATGTGAACACCCTTTTCTTAAACACTCGAGCTAGGTCTACAATTTCAGACTCCCGCATCTGCCTTGCAATGCCATCAAACTTGTCACATATCTGGTCTTTCCTGGACAACCTGTTTGCAACATCGACGGTCAAGCTGGCCATGTCTCTGCTCTTTGTTAATAAACGCAAGACAGTAGCAGAATACATCGGGTTTGATACCAGCCTGTTAAGTAGTATTAGAGCCTCCCGCATCAGCAAGGTCCTACACAACAATGCCCTCACAATATAAGCAAACAATTAAGAGATAGATAGGCCATTTTTGTCATGTAAACGTACTCCACAGAGACACATGACATGTATTCCTTGCAAGATGCAGAAAGAAGCCTGGAAGAAAATCTCAGTTCTCATAAATTATGCGGGATAGCCTTTATTCAACTGTTACAATGTACTAGGATGTGGGTACAATTGTTCATATGGTTAGTAAATGGCATTTGAATTTGTACAAGCATTCTGATAAATAATAAAAAATAGGAACCACTTGCTTTTCAAGTAATGCTATTTGTACACACTAGATTGACCACATTATGTGGCAGCTTAAATGTTTATGCCATGTCAATTAAAATGAAAACTGTTTTTTATTTTTTAATTGTCTTTTATTAGGATTCTAATTAATTCTTTTTTGTTTTTAACCTTCTCCTGTCTCTTCTAATCTCCCCGACTTTGCCCCTCCCCCTTTCTCCTCCATTCACTGATCCCATCCATGGCTATTGCAAGGACCAATAAAATGAAATTGTTGTCATTGGAGAAAACGATCCAACAGAAGAAAGACAATTAACAAGTATCCTTTCATGCCAACCAAGTAACCTCTTGCCTCTTTGATGACTCATAGCATTTAAACTAAAATGATTTTTCAGTTGTATGGATCTACTATATCAACAACTCAACCCAGCCCACTTGTCTATCTACATCATTGATTCCGGTAAGTATAGCCTTTGGTGCTTGATGCAGAAAAGAAAGATCAGTGCCAAAGAGTAATACGAACAAACAAAAAAAACATAAATCATGGATGAGATAAGAGCAGGGAGATTGAAATTCGAAGATATCATAGGAGAGAGGAGTGAGGGTCAGAGAGGAAAAGGTGAAAGATTATAAAAAATACCCTAAATTAATAAAAGACAATTAAAGAAAAAAATACAATTGTCCATTTTAATTGACATGACATGAACACATAAGCTGCCACATAAGGTGGTCTGTTAAATGTGGTCAAAGGTGTGTACTAAGCATTATTCTTTGCCTTCTGTTTTTTAGCACACAAATTGAACTACAATGAAGTCAACACCAATGATAACAATACAACAAGTAATTATGAAATCATTTCAATGTCAGAAGAAGGAAAAAGGGAAATCAGGAATAGAGAAGACAGAAGGGGTAGGTGAAACTGCATTACCAGAACCATGATATCACCAAATAACTATGAGATATTTAGTGGCACTTACAATGAAAGTAGAATACAGAAAAATAGAACTCAGCAAAGTAATGCCCAAGAAAAGAACGTTTGATTCTTGCATCTAAGTAAAAATAAGCGTATAAAATTCAAGGGCATCTAGAAACCTCTTACTCGTCAATTACCTCTCTTTGAAAACCTGTGCATGATCAGCATTAACTGCTACTTCTATATCTACCTCTGATATCAAAACTTGTAAAATCAACATTAGAAAGTTTGCATCTTGATAGAGCTTGTAAGCCACAAGTATTTCGAAGCCAGATTTTTCAGATGAGGATAGGAAAGCCAGCAAAAGAATAGAATTTCTGCGAAGTTTCAGTTCCTGAAAATACAATAACAAGAAAGGAGTTGATATATTGAAATACATATTACTAAACATAAACCTTTAACTCAGGTTTGAGGGTTTATGAGATGTGACAGAAGCACCTCCACCTTCTCTTGTGTAACTCAAAGGCCCAGAAGCCCTCCAGTGAATCAAAAATACATAAACTGGGAACTGAAGATAGAATGATATAAGATCGGGAAAACAAAAAGTTAAATATAGAAGGCAATCCCACTGTACGGTATACCACACATGACAGGGGTGGGAAACAAAGTTCTTAATGCCATTCAGACAGAGGTGAGGCCAAAATATGGTTATTGATGAAGCAGATGCAATGCAACTAAATTTTTTTACTTTAACAAGCAGAGATTTTAATCAAGGATCCTTTCAAAAGACTTTTCAAATCTCTCAGCTTATAAAGATACCTTTCTCTTGACTTTGACAGCAAAACAGACATTTTGAATTGACGATCAGGCAACAAAATAAAATCCCAGCTCAACTTTCAACACGAAATGCAGCATTATCTACAAAGAAATAACACAAATAGAAGGCCTAAATGCATGATGATTCACTTTTTAATTTACATTACATCCTATTCCATATAGGACTGAATAAAGTTTGTTGTCGATGATAAGGTTTAAAGCCTGTAGATGAGGCTTCTATTCTCTTTTGAACAAAAGCTACTACGATAGTTTGCAAGTAACATGAATGGCAAGTAGCATGAATGGGTGGGGGCCATTTCAGGAATAGGTGCACAATTAGAAATTCGAACAGAGACTACCTGGAAATACTTTAGTGCACATACAACCAATGTAACATAAGTTCTGTGAAACCAAAAGCAATTAGTATGGCAACTAAAAGATAACACATCACTCAGTCTCATCTCTAGTGACTCCACATAGATTAGTATGGCAAGTCATTTTCTAATACAAGTTTATGTCGGCATGCATAAGTGTGGTCTCTTGTGACCCTACACATATAAATATGGCAGGTCATTTTCTACAACAGTTTTCTTCCATAGGAGAACAGGTCAATCTACACACTAATATATCTACAAGCAGAGCAAATAAATAAATAACTTCAAGAAAAGTGTACAACTGAAAAGGAGAGAAAAGCAGGGGGGGATGCCTACCTGTAAACCATTTCCACAGCAAGCTATACAATCTGCCAATCCTTGAAGGATCATACTATATTTCTGGAAAGCTGAAGCATCTCCTACATCACCATCCATAGCACCAGCACCCTTCCCATCTTTATAATATGAACAGAACTTGACCAGTATTTTAGGACCTTCAAATCAGCAAAGAAACATAAGGTGTTCAGGGTTTAAGACAGGCAAGGAAGCTGAGTTGTGCAGAGTGGTAGGCTGCTCAAGGTTAGCTCTAATAAAATAAGATCTTCAGGCTTCACCCAACCAAAATAAACGAGCAGTAGAAGGCTACCAGTTAGAGGGGAAAAAAGAGCTTAAAAAGCAATGTTTAAACAATGGACGGAACCTAAAACAGAACAGTACCAGCAAACAGAAAGGTTTAAGGTCATAGAATGTTATGAACGCATATAATGTGCACTATACAGTGAGAACATTAAATTCTTGGTGTGCTCTCTTGCTTCACTCATTGTCATCTTGGCACAATTTCTTTTTATGTTTCCATCAGTTTTGTCATGACGAGGGGGGCCAATTTTCTAATACAAGTTTATGTCAGCATGCATAAGTGCGGTCTCTTGTGACCCTACACATATAAATATGACCGGTCATTTTCTACTACAGTTTTATTCCACATGGTACATGCATCCACTGTTTGTGGATGGTGGTCAGCATGCATTTTTTGTATGTGCATGGTTCATGGAATTTGGTGCATTGGTTTGTGAAATGCATGGATGGTGCAATGCATCTAGAGGCTTCTTCCATGGCTATATAAAGGGAGGTTTGTTCTCATCTAGAGGATTCTTGTACTTGTATTTCTCTCATAGTGAAGATGGTAACACTCCGTGGACCAGGTTTTTGCCGAACCACGTTAAATTCTTGGCGTACTCTCTCGTTTCACTCATTGTCATCTTGGTGCAGTTTCTTTTTATCTTTCCATTGGTTTTGTCATGATGAGGACTAATTTTCCCAACAATTTGTACATTGAAGAAACAGAAAAATTGTGCATGGAACACTTAATTTAAGATGAAATGTATGAAACTCTAAAATCAAAAAATTACAAAAAGTTTTGGAATATATTAGGATTTTTTAAAGCTATAGTGGAGAGGGATGGAGGGATGGAGGCATTATAGGACAAACTCTACAATGTAATAGTCAGAGTTTGGTTGTTCGGTTGCCTTTTCCTTTTCTTTTTTTCTTTCATTGATTCTTTGTTACATTATGAGGTGGATATCTTGTCCACTTTGATAGTACTCTGTTTCGCTATCAATAAATTTATGTTTCTTAAAAAAATAAACTGAACTACACGTAGTTCCACTAAGCAATAATACCAATTATAATCACTATAAGCTCCAACTCCATGCAATTATTGTAAAAACAAAACAAAATACAAAACGAATAAACTAAACTGATGTGAACTTACAATTCAGTAGCATATATAGAAGTTGCACGGCTTGTATTCGCACCTCAAAACCAGCTGCTTTTGTAAGCAAATGTGAAAGAATTTCAAATACCAGTGTCTGGCCAAACCTGCCTCCAACGGGACTCCATCAGAAAATGAGGAAAAGTAGCAGTATAGAAATCTCAACAAAAAAAGAAATTTTGATTCTTACTTTTCCCTCTCAATAAAGGGATTACTTCTCATTATAATCATATTCATAATAGAGACTGCTTCTAGCCTTACACCTGGTTTTGAATTCTTCATGGCAGTTTGTAGGATCACCTCAAAGAGAGAAACCCAGTCTATATGAGAAAACAAAGTTGCAATGCCATTATTCCAAATTCCATTCTTGCTTTGAGTTTCGGGATACGAAAATTTCATTCCAAGTGAGCATGCATAAGACATCTGATCCATGTTCACACAAAACAAGGCTCCTTTATTTGCACCTTCAGATCCATGAGGATTTACAATCTTGTTTCTACAGTGAAGTCCTTCAACCATGACATTGACCCTGAGTAGAGTGCACTGGAAAAATCAAATCAAAGTTGATAAGCATGACATTGACCATGATATATATATATATATTCTATGTTTCATTCCATTGCCAAGGGGCAGATAGGAAAACTTAACTTAGTTGCTTCATTTACAAAACACACAAATATACATTTAAGTGAACCCACATCTCTTCAAATCTCCAACCCATTACGGTGGTAGCAGGGATGGCACATTAGCAATCACATCTGTTCATCTCTTCTTTTTATCCTTTTTTCAGGAAATAATTGTTTATATACGTGCTAACGCTTTTTATGTACTTCTTTCTGTAAAAGGGCTATGGCACCCTACATATTTTTATATTAGTTCCTTGTAGACATATGATGAACACTAAATGATGATACTCTAAAGTAGAATCATTTTTAAAAAAAGCAGTCGAAGGGGATCACTCAATCAGCAATACAATCACATAGGTTTCTCGCTCGTGCAAAATCAAACTGGAATACAGAAAGAGCAAATGAGACAGTATGTTATATACCTTCCCTCGAATTGCCTTTCCAGACTAATCAGGTGCTTCAGATACACATGCAGTATATGTAGAGACGCCTGAACAATGATAACCTATGCCAAAAATAACTGATTACCAAACTGAAAGAGTTTAAGGAAATAACTACCATACTGAACTTATGAAACTTCATTCAATGGTGACATACAATAGTGGACTTACAAAATGATATGAAAAATTAGAGGGCCTTGCAAGCAGGAATATTCTGACAAACAAAACTTATCATGTTGTAATAGTGTCTTGTACATGCCACGACAAAATTAGAGCAAGGCAATGGGGTTCCAAAAGCAATTATGCGAACATAAAGTATTAAATAATTTAACAAAAGAAATAGTTATCAATCTTAAAATTTGTATCAACAGTTGAAGATGTAAAGATGTCAATGGTGCCAAAATTGATGGCAGCTACCCATTTGTCTCTAAAAACATATGGAATTAGCAGTACAATATTAAATTTTTAATGATAGCTCTTAGAAACACTTCAAGTTTCTAAGATCACAAGCATTACAAGTATAAAATCCATATGGAAGTAAACTACACACCAACAACAATTGCTTCTGGAACAAGGGTTAGCTGAGTTGAGCTTAATAAGGAGGCAAAAGTATATGTGAGACCATATTGGTGGCACCTCCCTCCATGGTGGAGGGTAAGGGCTAGGCACTAAAGTTAAAAGACAAACAACGGATGGAAAGAAAGTAGCCCTCACCCTAGCCATAAAACATTCGAAGTAATTAGTAAAATTGTTATAAAAAAAGTTTTAAGGGTTAAGAAAACTAAGAAATTGAAACAAAAAAGGAGAATAATTACAGAAATAGAGGACTTGTGTGGTCCAGCCTTTGGCTAAAGTTTGCATGTCTGTGTCACTCCTTAACCAATAAAAAACAACATTAGAAAACTTCCACCAGTCAAATTTCATTTCAATGTTACCTCACCCTGTGCAATAAACATACACGAGTCATAGCAATTGTCAAGTTTAAAATCTATTGTGTTGGTTTCTCATAGAGCAGACGAGATTTGGAGTTTGAAGCCTTCAGGATTTTTTTTCATGTAAATCATTCTCAAAGCACCTTCTGGACAATCCCTCTATTCCTTCTATCTTCACACCTTCCCATGTGATTTGGAGAAGTTCTGGGAAGATGTACTATGTGGCAGATTTTTGGTTAGTATGGGTGGAAAGAAATAGGATTGTCTTTTATAATGTTAAGGGTGATGAGATAGATCAGTTATGAGATCGGATTCTGTTTTGGGCATCCTTGTGGGCATCTACTTCATCAGAGTTTAGGGAGTTTACCCTTCATTTTATCTATTTGTATTGGAAAGCAGTAGTACCGTAGAGATATTTATTTCAAGTGAAATGTGGTAGTGGTGTCTTAGTTTAAAGGTTCTGATTGCTGTATTTTTTGTGGATTTCTTGTTCACCGATTGTACATATTGGTTTTTAAATAAAATTGTTGTTTCCTATAAATAAATAAAACAATGTCATTAATACCAATACATTTAAAATCCCCAAACACCAATATTTTTAAAATCATGGACCTATCACATCCTAACAGACAACTACAGACTTTCAATTTTAGTAAGTCAATATCAGTAATCAACACATCCCCAAATGTATCAGGTGGATTTAACTCAATTCAATTTTCTATTAATTAATTTGATCGTCCAACTTAGATGAAGTTCCATGCCAATCTAATCCAAAACTACAGGCTAGCTTAAATAAAAGAGACTAATGAGTATCCCTGAAGAGTACATCCTCTAGGAAGTAAAACCATAATTATATTACCCAGCGTATCAAAAGTTTCTTAAATCAAACATACCGAAAATGCATCTTATTGAACAGTATGTGGTCCCAACTCCCAATCCATAGGATAAACTGAATCTAGAGTAATGTCAATTTACTCAAACTACACGTTGGTGGATAACAAAAATAAAAGTAGAACATCTATGAAATTGTTGCGAGAAGTCAAAGCATATCAATTCACCAACTTACATTTTCAAGACTACAGAGGTTGACTAATGGTTGAAATAAATCCTCCAACTTTACCATCCCACTTTTAGCCTGCAAAAAGAACAATCAACAGATACAAAATACTCATATCCAAGTTAGAACAAAAAAGGAACAACATCTCTGCAACACTATATGAATGGATTTTCTAATTCTTTTTCCTTGTTTTTTCTTTAAGTTCCACTGCACATGTATGGCATAAAGATTACAGAAATCAAAGGTTAAATAAAGTAGCATAATAAGACCTGGCCTGTATAAGAGAACTTAGTTCAATCACCATAAGCAGTTCTACCACCGAAGAAAAAGAAAAAAGAAAAAAAATAATCTGTACTGTTACAGACAACCTGATACGATAAGACATGGTGTCCCTTACAAAACTATCCCTTAAATATAAGTTTAACAATGATACACAGATTTTACTATTTACTTGGTTATGAAACAAAAACATTGTGAGAAGACCCCTCATGTATTGTGCATCAACCCAAGCCCACGAAATACATATAAAGATGAAATAAACAAAGTCCAACAAAATGTATGATGACCAGATAGATTGGCCTGTTCATTACTTCACTTGACAATTAGTGCACAGGGTGGAATAACACTAGGATCTAATGTGACTAACACCCTTTTTTAAATAGAAGAGGCTAACACCACCTTTAAATCTACAACTTCCTTGTTTCTAGCCATAAATTCTTTCTGAAATAGTCAAACAATCCAATGAAGATGTATCTCCATGTCCAAACTAAAAGAAAAATGATTACAACACAGAAGCAAACATCATTCATCCTCCCTCCTAATCCCTTCCCCAACCATATAACAAATAATGATCCTTTTGAGGTTGTCATGAAAATCTTGGAGCAAATTCTGATCATTATCAGCACATCTAAGTTTCACCAGAAGTTTCAAGTTATGTTTTTGGCACTTGCCTTGTAATCTAGGGTAGTAATTTAATAAATTATACAATCTCAAGACTTTTCCTGTTTAAACAGTTATATGAAATTACATAATCAAAGAATACCTTGGTCAAGACAGAATAAAGATGAGACACCATTTCAGCTTCTGGAGTATGAGTATGAGACATTTGTGAATAGTACTTTGAAGCTGCAATAGAAGAGCTATCATCTCCCAGCTTGTCCATTGTTAATTTGGACGGCATTGTCATACCAATGCACCCAAAAAGAAAATGGAAATCTGTTTGGCAAGCCATAAGCAAATTGCAAATTAGATTTCTTCCCAATTCTTGCTCATTTGGAGAGCCCCAGATAGCTAGTAATTTCTTGGAGAGGTCATCATATGTCTGCAGATCATCATGTGAGATTGCTTGGGGAACAGCACCAATTTCATCAGTTTGAACGCCTGGGGCTTTAGAGTTTCGCACATCTAGCACAAATCACCATAAATAAAGACAGGTCAGAAAATACAGCAAAAATAAATTGAAGATGATCTCCAACTTATCTCACCAGTATTAATACGAGAGCCAGGCTGATCACTTGAACACATTGCAGATTGAAATTGTCGAGAAACCTCATGATTGACCAGGACATCTCCAGATTTCCGGCTGCCATGGGACCTTATGATAATAATGGAACATAAGATAATGTAAAGCACCCCTTCAGCGTGATTAGTTTAATATACAACAGGCAAGCAGATTGAAAATATCACTGGTTTATACTTGCACCATGTAAGGCCAATGCCATGCAACAGAGAAAGAGTTTCTACTTACAAATTTGTACTCTCAGAGTTCCTAGCAGCTGCATCTTTCTTTTCATTCATTGAAGTTACAAGTCTAAGCTGTTTATCTTTTTTGTCATTTTCCTTCCTTAGTTCAGAGAACTCTTTTTCCTGCAAGTATAGGACAATTCATTGCATATAGATAGTTTCATAAGAAATAAATCCCAAATACCGAAATGTCATGATGGAAAATAATGAGAAAAATCAATGGATTGAGAAACTGGATACTATCAGAAATAGAAACTGAATGCTCTTCATATGCACTCATATAAAGTTGTAAAATATAGCATCTTGTGTGACGGCATAAAAAATATAAATAAAAGCTACACAGAGCACCTCATTCTCCCATACCAACATCAAATTTTCTGAAACTAAAATAAAATAGCTTGTGGTATAATAAAGTTCAGAATATGAGACAGCATTAAGTTTGGATTGCTTCCCATTATAGAACTCAGCCAAAGACAACATGCACATCACTCTAAGTATACATCCTGAAAACACAAATGCAAACACACACGCACACAAACGAAAAGGAGAAGCATATAAATCATCTGTTATTGCCAATTTTTAAACCATAAAAAGCTCACTTAGGTATGAACATGTAATTCCAACTGTTAAGTACAGAAAGCTGTATAATGACATTATTTTTCATTTCAAAACCAATGAACAAGACTAAAATGCATAACACTACAGAAAAAGTTCACCTATTTGAAGACTTCTACCAAAACTACATTATAGTATGACTTGGAATAACTACAGCACAAGCAAACCAACGACAAAAGCACTAATCTTGTGGCAGCAAAAGTGAAATTGCGGTGACAAATAAACGTACCAAATGCAAAAGCTTCTCCGAGACATTTCCTAGCTCCCTCTGCAATTAAGATTCATCAAACTTTGATTGAAAAACAAGACAACAAAACTTCTACTTATTCTTCAAACCCAGGTCAGAAATCAAAGTATAAGCCGAAAATCCAGACATAACATACAATTCAAACGAAAATTAAGGAGTTTAAGATGCAGAACGATTCTAGAGAAGAAGAAAAACTGTTTCCTTGACATCTATTTTCCCTCATTTAGGGACCATTTGAGTTAAAAACCCTTTTGTTAGCAACCAAACAAAACATAAATCTCTTGATCAACTATGGCCAATGCCACATAAATATTAACACTAACACACCCAATTTGTTACATACTAATAAACCATCGATTTTTAAAAAATTTAAACAAAAAACGGTATTTACTTTTCATGTATACATATAAATATATACAGCTATGCAATGAAGCCCTAACCTTCAAGCGGGCAATTTCGAGTTCTTTCTCAAGCTCAGGGCAGCTACTGGAAGAAGGAGGAGGAGGAGGAGCAGAATAGGAAATGCCATTGGAAGAGGACCTCTGAGTGAGCTCTCGCGGAGGGGAGTAGGTAATGGCCCTAATGGGATTGGAGTGAGAAGAAGACGGCAGCAAATGGGGGGGTTGAGGAGGAGGTTTGGAAGGTTTGGGGTGCTGAGAAGAGAGGGCTTGCTCTTCTACTTGGATCAATTGCTCCAAGAAATCTGTGTCCCAGTCTTCTTCTAATCGCTCTTCGCTCATCGTCTTCACTCTTCTGCACACACTCAATTTTCAAACCACTCACAAACTCACACTTTACGCGTCGATGATCGTTTGAGTTGGAGTAAATACAAGCAAGAGACTTTTCATAAGGCACAGCCACCCCCCATAAGGGTTTTTTGTTTCATCTTTTTTCCTGCTTGGTTGAGCTGTTTGTTTTTGTTTTTTTTTTTTTCTCCTTTTTCGGTTTTACCTCTTCACCAAGAAAAATTAACCTCACTTAAGAAAAAAAAAATTGATTAAATTAAATTACTTACAAAATCAATAATGATATAGCAAGGGTAAATACGATGTCATAACCCAAAAAGACAAATTAAAACAACTTAATCAATTAATTTGCATTTAACCAAACTAGATAAACGACTCATTAAATAAGAAAAGGGTTTCAAATAAAGAAAGGAGGAGAGAAAAAATCCTAGTCACTCCCTCCTTATGTGAATCCCAAAGAAAAACTCCATAGATGGGGGAGAAGGAAGAAGCGCCATTGCCCCTCCTTCCCTCCTCTCTCCTTGCCTTTTCTATTGGGTTATTGAAAAAGAAGCAATTTGTGGAGATTTCTTCTAAGTCATTCTCATATTGAAGCTCATCACCCCTTTTAGGTGTTCTCAAACAAATCATTCTCTCAAATTCCACTCTCTAACACTACTCATGTTCTCTAAACTTGGGGCTGCATTGTCTTCGACAGAGGTTGCTGCAAATCACTCAATGTTCTTTATCAAAGTAGTTGTTTTCATTTATTTGTTAGCTTTTATGTGTAGGTGGGTCGCTGGAAACTATGTTTTTCCAATATCTGTTATGGATGAGGTGATGGGTGTTGCTGCGACAAAACTTCTTCAAATGGTGGTGGTGGTAGTGTTTGTTTAGGCTTATAGATTGCATTAAGGGTTCAATTATGTTGGGCACATGGGCTTTGTTTGGACTTATGGTTAATTGTGGTAATGTGGGCTAAGAGTTTTAGTGTGGATTTAAGATACAGAAGTGATACCTACTCACAATATTATCAATACATTTTCATCACATTAAGATACATAATTAATACCTACAAACATTATTTTCAACACATTAAGATACATAATTGATATCTACTAACACTATTTTCAACACATTAAGATACATAACTAATACACTATTTTCAACATATTAAGATACGGAACTGATACCTACCAACACTATTTTCAACACATTAAGATACAGAATTGATACCTACTACAAGATGCATTGATCCTTATGCATCCCAAATAATCTCATATTCACAGTTAAGATTCAATTTTCTATTCCGCGTTCTACTTCTAATGGTACTTATTATTTGTTTTCCAAGCCCCATTAAATCACCAAAATGATGCCATACACTCACACCACTAGATGGGCAAAGTAGGATTATAATAAGGAACAGATAAAGGTTCCTGGAATTTGAAGAAAAGACAACCAATTAGTAGAATGCAAAAAAAAAAAAAAAAAGGGATGAAGCAACAGCTGTGAATGTAGACAAATTACCACAAAGAATTGCAACAACAACAACAACAACAAAAACCAAATTTTGGAATAACGAAAGAATATTTAAACCACAACAAAACTTTTAAAAAAGAGTTACTATGCTTCAACAAATTACTAGAAACTAGAAAACACAACACAAAAAAGCAACTGAAGCCAATTTATATTTTTGCAAACACAACTACTACAGAGAGAGGGCATTTGAGGGAAACATACCGATTCAAACGTTTAGATGAGAAAGACTAGATGAGGGAGGTTATGCGACAACATAAGAGGAAGTGAAAGAGAAAGAGTAGACCAAGGAGTTTCTGCCACAAGAGAAAGGAATACACAAAATTATGTCTGGTAGGTGAAATTTTGGGTGCTATGATTAGGGTTAATTCATAAATTCATTGAGAAGAAAGGCGCGACTGTCAGGAAGAACAAAGACTCATTTTTTCGAAATAGGTGCGACTTGACACATGGCCTAAGGGGAAACTGCAACCTACCCGTTTGCAGCGTAAGCTTGCTTTTCTCCTAAACCGTTTAGATGCATTTCAACGATTGCGATTGACTCTCATATAAGGATCTCACATAGCTGTTCTCACTTGATCCGAGCGCCCTTAAAAAAGCATCCACAATGGTACAAATTTAAGGCTCTAAAACTTAAAACCCAACCAGAGCACTAGCTAAATCTATATGCTTGGTTGAAGCCCTTGAAACCAAATGGGTCCCGCAAGGAGAAAAGCTGCAGCCCACATGTTTTGGTCTTTCACTTGCATTGCGACTGTAGAAAGTCATACTTGACTTTTTTTTTCTTCTATCAACAGCATGTTTGCCACCATGCTGACCCACTTTTTCAAAAGCTGTGGAACTAACGGCTATAAATGGCTACAAGTGAGACCAATGGCTATAAACGGCTATATATATATTTTTTAATAGATTTGCATTTTAGCTCATAATTCTCCTTGACCAAAACAACTTTTTTTTAAATATTTTTTAAAATATTTACTATTGTTAGACTAATTAATCTGAACTATCTACAGAAAAAAAAAAAAAAAAAGGTTTACAACAACAATGCATCATCAATAAGATCAAGATCTGGTTCAGCCTGCTCAAGATCAATATACCAAATACCAAAACGAAGCCAATGGACACCCACCACCCACTCTGGTTCAGCCTGCTCAAGATCAATATACCAAATACCAAAACGAAGCCAATGGACACCCACCACCCACTTGGGAAGTTCTCGAACAGGTGATAGAAAGGAAGAGGGAGCATAAGGAATCATTCTATAGTGAGGGCGACTCTTAGATGAGATTCTATCTCTTAACCGTTGGATCAAACTAACGAATTTTATTCAACGGTTAAGAGATATGACCCCATCTATTGATCCAACGGTTCAAAAATAAGGCCTCATCTATTGGTCCAACAGTTAAGAGATTAAACCTCATCTAAAAGCCTTGAATAAGGCCCTCACTATAAAATTCTTGAGAGCATAAGAGAACTTCGAACATGTAAATGGGTCTGGTTGGACATCTTAAGCTACTCAAAATTTGGTCCTCAGCTGAGCACTTGTGGAAGATTTCAATTGCAGAACCATCAATCAGCGCCAGAATCGGTCCGTTTGGTATTGAGGAATGGAACCCCAAAGAATAAAAATCTTCCAATGAGAAGCAAAATGCTGTAGCATTAGTTAGAGAATAGAGAGAAGTGATATAAGGCAGATGCAATGTTCAGCTGCATAAAGTGGATCATCACATTACGGTAAAAATCTAAGAAATATTCCAAATACATAGTTTAATATCGCTTAAGGTTACACAGCCATCTCTGAATTTGATTCACCATGTCTCTAGGCATGCCACCTATATATGAAATGGAATTTAGTCCCAAGTGCAGTACATGAGGCTTCTCCTTCCAGGAAAATGATTCAAGAAAAGCATCAGCAATATGAAAAGCAGCATAAAAAACGTTGGCCCAAGTGCTCAACTAACGGAGACTACTGTTTACTTGGCCGCCCTTGCATTTTAAACTCACATTTTTTTCGATTAGGATTTGTTACACCAAAGGCAGAAAACAAAGCAAGAGACCTAACTCATGATGCAACCAAATCAGGTGTTTCCGCCTCGATAGATAACAAAGCTGTATGCACTTTGTCCAACCAACCATCCAGCCTATCACGCAACGATTTGATCTGTGGAATTCCCAAAACTCTTGGTTGCACCCAGGACACATGCACGGTTTCCTCAACTTGATCAATTATTCCCTCAATCAAATGAACCTGCAGTAAGCATCTCCTATAATTATTCAATTGAGAAAATTCACAATAACAAAAAAGACTTCTGAATTACAAACATACAATTGTCCAGATGAACCATTACCATAAACCATATATCATGTAACGACCAGATAGACAACACAAGGAGCATTCTATCTCGGTTAAATTTGATAAGGTATTTGTTTTCTTTCTATTTCTTAGTAGTGCCAAAAGCAAAGTCATAAGGAAAATCATTCCCCACAACACCCCAAAAAAAAAAAAAAAAAAGGAACTGAAAAGACAACATAACAGAAGTTAAGGAAATGATGGGTTAAGAACAAAGCCAGAACATCACTTCCATTCTAGATCTTTCCTTAATATAATGATCATGCAAGATGGCTATACAACTACCAAAACATTGAGATCCAATTATCTTAACTGGCAAACAAACACGCCATTACTATGCTGAATTTATCAATAACTTTAGAATTAGGATATATTGTATGTAGCACAAACACTTCTAGAAGAGAGGGGGTTGGTTGGACACACTTCGACAAAATACCTCACACATGTTTCAACAAAATGATATATAATTCCTACTCAAATGAATGCAATCGTAGAATTGGATATATTTCATTCAAAGAAAATAATTATATATCCAAAGATTATTACTTTTAGGAATATTTTGATTAATTCAAAAAATTAAAGCAACAGAAACTAAATCATTATGTAAAATAATGTTCCACATAAATGCTATATATGTATAATTATTTAAACTCATTTTCATGTTCGTCATGTGCACAGCTTAACCTGTATTGCATACCCATAAAGTACACACAAAATATCAAAGGCCAGTGCTATAAAACAAAATAAATCATGGAACCTACTAGATATGTGCAAATAAGGTTTGGACGCTAAATACCATATACATCAGATATACCATGTTCAGATATACCATGTTCATCTGGCCAAATTTATAATACTAGCCCTCTTACCAAGTTAGTTCAGTCTCTCAAACTAAAAGTTTTTTTTTCTTTTCTTCAATGTAGGGTAGTTAATCTTTACTTGTTCAAGAGTCATATATTGATAACCATGACCATAAGACTGGAGTCTTCCTTATTAGCATAGATACATAAGTAGGGATATCTGAATAGGCAGGGGCTGTACACCTTGGATGATTCTAATATTAATAAAGATATCAAAATCTGAATTCATTCACTGTCCATCAAGTTCTCAGAAAAGAAGAACATACAGAAAGACTCTTCACAAGAAGATGCTCCACATCCTCGACAGAAAGTTTCGTACGCTCTGCAATGATACTCAAAGGTATAGTCCTATCTTCAGATGGCCGGCTGCAAGGAACATGTCAACTTAATGGTAATTCAAAAGGACGCAGAGAAGAATAATTTCTCATCTGGCACAGATTACAATTGAAAGGATGATCATTGACCAAAGAAAAAAAGAAGAAGGATGATCTACAACATGCTAACCTGAAGATAATTTCCATCAAGCATAGGATGTTAATCTTCTCCAGAAGCTTCTTCTCATTTTCAACTAAAGCCGGTTGAGCTCTAAGAGCAGCATTATGCACACGACATAATTCTTGATAACGGACTAAATCACCAGAGTTGAACGCTTGAAGAATATAGTAAAGCCACTCTACCTTTGTCCCTAGAAGACTCTTAATCTGCATAAGTTGTTAAAAGAAGTCATCTATCAGAAAAGAAAAGCAGGAAAAACAATTTAATATAATGAGGTCTACACACTTCAGAAGAAGCACCTGCCAACTAGATACATAATTAATATTTATAAAAGCTGTAGGTCATCCAAAAAACACAAATGGACAGGAGGGTGCAGGCATCCTCGGTGGGGTACTACAGGGAATTCAGATCATAAAACCACATGGTTCTCTAAACCATTGTACAAACACTATGTACAAACTTATTTATCCATGTAAAGAAGCATGTACACATAATAGGCTGCACAAAGTCAAGTTGGAGACTCAAACACTTCGTGATAATCTATAGCAGTTGAAATTAATAGTAATTTGTCATACTTAGTGATCTCAGCTGGGAGAGTGGAAATAAAGCCAAACTGTAAAGTGTAAAATAAATAGCAGTATCAACAAGAATGTGCCTTGCAATCTTCATTTCTGATCAATTCAAATCCAATGTTTTAATATTTGTTTTCAAATACAGCAACAAAAACATCTTGTTTATCTTTAAAGGGAACTCTTTAAGTAGTGTAATATAAAAGCGAAAAAAAAAGAGAGAGAAATTATGCACAAATGTTCTTACAATAGGATGTGCAAGCAGCTCTCCAAAGTTGTAGATGTTGTCTCCCAGGAGCGCAGAAAGGGACAAATCAAATGCCAAATCCTTACATACGTTAAAAGCAAATTAAACCGTCAAAATCACATCATGGATTAAAAGATGCAAACTGTCTAACGGCTACTCAGCAGTAAAATTAAGTGAGCCACATATGGACAATTAATTCATAGGATCTGCAAGATAAATCTTACTGTCGATAGAGGCTATCATTTGTGCCCAAACCAAAATCTTTCAAATATATACTGAACCAGTGAAAAGATAAAAGGCAAGTGTGAAATTCTTAGTTAATTATGGATTGAACTAAGTCCATGTTCAAAACAATGCACACAACTCCATTTAACCAAGTAACTGGATTCTCTTAGAAATCCTCATGTATAAAACAAATATTTCCAGGTTTTCACCAAATAGAAATCTTCAATTAAATGACAAACAAAAATGAATGCGTTTTCTCCTCTTTCATCAATCTATAATATGATGGATAAATTTTATACTAAACCATTCCTATTCAAGAGCTTAAAATTCAGCTCCCTGAGATTGACCTTATTCCACATTTTACCCAATATCTCCTTTATGCTAAGTTGCATTCTCTAAACTGGACTGTTCAGATTATGTTTACAATCATATTGGTAAGTAATTGTAGCAGATGGTAGAAGATTTTCCTTTTCGTTTTTATTTTTTCCATTTGGTATATAAAAGATTTAGAAGACAAAGCCTATCTTCGAATGCCTTGGAAGACTTGAATCCAGGCATGGAAAATACAAACTATAAGAAACCATTCATCTAAAGTATGCAACCACAGGTTTCAAGCCTTCCCAATAACATAGAATTTCAAAATAGCGATGGGCTGTAAAACTTAGGAATTGCAAAAGAAAAATGGTTTGCTATAAGATTATATAACTGCGTACCAGCTTAAATGATTCTGAGAGAGACTCCACTGATGTGTATGCTAGATAAAGAAGAGCACTTTTGTAGAACTCAGCAAATTCCTGACGGAACTTATGGTATTGAGATGAAACCCAATAATAGCTAGCATATACAGATGGATCGATGTCAGTCATACTGTCAAGTGTACTCTTTCCATCTTCTAGAAGTTTTTTGCACTCTTTCTGATCTTCTTGCTCAAGTTTGAATATTGCTATTTGCATCTTAATGTAAAGGATTGGTTCCTCTATCCGTTGCTCTCTAGTGGCTTGAAGCTTCTCAATCACCCCTTCAAGGTAATTGATAGCAGCTTCCTTCTCTGGATACTGCCGAGAAACAATTACTGCGAAGTGTGCAAGCTTCAGAAGGTTGATTTTAGTCTCAAAATCAGTGATGAAATTGTGATATAACTGTATCAGAGCATCGCCAGCCTGATATTCAATAATAAGATGAAAAAGTCAGATGCAGGGAGGAAGGAGACATGCAGAAAATAGAAATATACTACTGGAATTCTTTCCTGTCAAGAACAAGTAGAACACACTTGCACTACATCCAGACATATTGTTAGCAACAAAATGTTCTATTACTACCATTTTAGCATTAAAAAATCATATATAAAATCATCTGGCAAACAAAGATTCAGCACTTCAATGATTAAAAAACAAAACTTGGTAAGTTAATGAGATTTTTCATGCAAATGGATTACATGAGAAAACATAAAACCAGATAAACCCCCATGCAAATTAGCTTTGTAGGTATCATCAATTCTGTTGACAATTTCTACAAAGTAACAGAAAAAATGCAACCTAATCTCATTTCAAGATGCACAAGTTTGTAACATAACATTATCCTGATTAAGAAAATTCAAAAATTAAATTCCTTAGGACACACACCCATAACCAAGATTGTTTCTTCGCCATGTCATATTTAGAAGGCACAAAGGAAGCTAAACATGACCAGTAAGGGCTTGTTTGGTAGGGAGGACTAGACTAGACTAGAAAAATGCCTACATTTCATGTGCATTTAAGGCATAATATGGATATGTTGCCTAACTTGGAGGAGGAATGGGGCTATCTATAAGAGGTTGATGACTAAAATTTATCCCCTTAATCCCCTTGAAATTGGTGGGATTATGAGAGATAAGTTTTAGTCATCAACCTCTTATGAATAGTCCTCCTTCATCCTCCAAGTTAGACAACAATATCCATATTATGCCTTGATTGCACATGAAATGTAGGCATTTTGCTAGTCTAGTCTAGTCTAGTCCTCCCTAACAAACCAGGCCTAATAACTTACAAAGCAATCATTGAGTGTCCATGGGATAAGGGTAGCACACCTAGTTCCATACTAATGCATGCCTAATCTGGTTAAATGCCAATCAAGTTACATGCATGCCTAATTGTTAAGAATAAATATCTCGTGATAAAAGCACTACACAGAAATTGAAAATTGTAGACAAATTATCATACTTATTACCTCACATTTGGGGCAATTATAATCAAGAAGTGCTCAAATTATGTTCAAATATGTCATAATACAAGCTCTTAGAAAAATATTATTGTCAGATAGCCCCTTTATATAGTTCATTTATTGTACAGTAAACAATTTGGAGTTTCCATTACTGCCACATTTGTGTGCTAAGACTCTCCAATCTAATTAATTTGATATCTTAATCTACGAAAACCTCGCATCTGGTGAAAAATACATTGACAAAGAGAAAAAAACACAGAGCATGGGGCAACTTTGGTAAAGGCACTTGGTTAGTAGCTTAAGGTTACATGTTAAACTTTACTTTACTTGAGCCATCAGTTGCTATATAATACATGGTTAATACAAAACACTTTAAACAATTTTGCTATAATCACACAACACCATACCCACAATACAGGAACCTAATTTAACATCCTACGTTGTCCTCTCCTCCAGGCAGCAAAGAGAGTCATATTATTCAACAAAATATACATATGTATGTATGCATACCAACAAAAATACCAGGATCATAGATGCATTGAGACCACAGTCCATGCTATTTTTTTTTTTTTTTTTTTAAGTACAAGTGATAGTCTAAACTACCAGGAGGAGGAGAGTTTATCTCACACACACTACCAAGGTGCCAAAGGGATTCAAACCTGAGACCACTGGTCTGCAAGTCAAGGCTTTCCACTGGGATAGACCACAATCCATGCTAGTTGAACGGATCAACAGTTTCAAACCAACTAGTTCCCTCCCAAATAAAAATTAGATTTAATTAGAATGAGTTCCAAGGAAATTAAAACCCAGAAAAAAAAATGTCACCCCTGGGTTAAACCACTCTCTAATGATTAAAAAACTAGGATCTACAAGAACTCATTGCTGAGAACTCTCAAAACTAGAATCCATAACCCATTTCTTTGACCTCTAGTTACTCAAATCACCTAAAAATGAGTGAAAAAATATATATGAGCACAAGCTTTCAGAGATTTATAGTAGGGTTTCACTTAATGCAACCAAAGCATTAAAATCCATATCTTTCTTCCCCCGTAACTTCTGCATTTTCTCCAATACTAAGCAACATCTCCAACCTAAGTGCAGAAAAAAAAAAAAAAAACTATATTGTAACCACAGAAAACCCTAATTCCAGAAAAGAAATTATAAAAATAAAAAATAAAAAATTTATTTTTGTCATCCAAACGCCCATTTCCCATTACTGTTCCCAAAAAAACCCTAACTCAGCAACAAAACCCAAAGAACACTTCAAGCCCCAAACTAAGGATTTCACAATCCCTAAATTCCCGAATTCACAGTCACACATCCACACACTGAAGCATAAGCATCAAAGAAACCAGAAATTGGGGTGGGAAACAGACCTGGAACACGGCGAGAGCAACAAACTGTTCGAGCTTGAGAGTGAGCTGGTGCCATAGCTTCTTCTGGTACAGATCTGCGAGCGAATTGTACCAATCGGAGAGCTCCGGATGCGCGTTGCGCAACGACTCCAGGTACTGCAGCGCGGCCATGCCTGATTCGGAGAGAATTTGCGAGGGTTGGGAGACCTAAGGCTTTGTTTGGTTTGTATTTATACGAATCCCAAAAACCACCTTATTTAACTTGTGCTCAAAGAAAAGAACACAAAAGTGACGAAAAATCTTTGCGCTTTTATCCGTGTATGTGCGTAAATATACAGAAGAGCCGGCATAGCAACTAAAAGTCGGGTCGGGTCGGGTATGAGAGTTAGGTTTTTTTTTTTGGGTCATAAGGCTATCTCCAACCTAAGGACCTAAACCCAAAATATCCTAAATTATTGCCCAAAACCTCTTCCAACCCAAGAAAATAAAGGACCCAAAATTTGAGAAAACCTTGCCTGGACCCAAAACCATTCAGTGGAGTCCACTGCACCTGAAACAACCCCATGTGCACATCATTTGACATTGGCCTCAACTGACCTACTGTGCCGTTGCTATTTGTCTGCTTGTCTAGCCACTTGTCAAGCTGTTGTGAAGCTGCCATTGGAATCCAACGGCAACAATTGAATTTGGTTTTTTTGTTTTTGTTTTTATATTCTAAATGTAACTTAAATCAACTATCTAAATTAAATCTAAATTATTTTAATGATAAAAAAAAAATCCAACGACTGAAATTTAAATCCAATGGTCAAAATAATATTTTAGTATTAATCTAGATCAGATCCAACCCCAAAACTCACTCCAAACTCTATAAATACTCATCCATTTCTCAAATAACCTACCAAAAACATTTTATCTATTTCTCAATTTATTTTTCCTTTGTTAGTCTCATCCATCTCTTTTCATTCTTTTGGAATAAAATTATATTTGTGGAATTTCAATTTTTTTAGGTCAAATTGTTCAAAAAATTTAATTATGAAATTATTTAAAAAGATTGAATGAAGAAAAGTTATCCATTAAAAAAAAAATTAGACTTAAACCATTCTTAAACAATTTAATAAAGTCGTGGACTTCAAATTTGAATCCGGAGGGTTGGGAGAAAAACTGATTTGAGTCCGAGCAAAACCTAAATAATTACTTTTTGGAGAGGGAAAATTTGGGTTTAGCCCCTCATGAGTTGCATATGGTACATGTCATATGTAATTTCGAATGGTAATAGGGATGCCACATGTGAGAGTGATGTGGGAAAAACAAGAGGCGTGGAAGGGATAGGAGTGTCAGCCAGCAACATAAGCATGGTTCCGCAACGGTGACTGAGATGGAGCCCAATTGGGATTTCATTCATTTCTAGTTTCTTATTTGGTCTAGTTTCTTATTTGGGCTAACGACATTTTATCCCCTGGAGATTTGGGGTCATTCTTGAAATAAGTCACGAGGTTTTAATTAAAATTCAACTAATTTACACATTCTTTTTTTTTTTTGGGTCAAATTTACACATTATGTTAATTTGACTGTTTGGTCTTCTGTTAAATTGATGATGTGGTAAGGGCGGTCCTTACTGTATGATGATTTGTAAAAAATAATAAATAAATAAAACTTATGTAGAATAATATAAAATAATATATTTTTTTTGCAAAAACTCAAGCCCTTCAACCCAGGCGAGAGAACCAATTCCTCTAGCCTCTTTACCAAATTGGATTCAACGCCCGCGAGCATGGCCTTGGTGGTGTCGATGACCTCGAAACCAGATGAGGTGAATGGAATGACAAAGGATTTGGATGCTGGTGGTGGCTGGACATCGATGTCGATCTTGGTAAAATTGGAAGAGCTAGTTTTCCAAATTCACAGCATGATGTGAAAGAATATGGAATTCTGTAGTTTGTATTGATATCAATGAGACTGTAATGTACAAGCTTTATACAGATTGCAAATGCTATTCTAAGTAAATAGGAAATCCATTCTAAGTAAGTCAATCACAATAGCTGTGATGGACTCAATCTTAGCTAATTATTGGGATTGTGCTAATTACAATAGTTGACCAATTTCTTTCCTTTAACACTCCCTCTCAAGTTGGAGTGTGAATGTCTATTACACCCAACTTGCCAAGATGGGATTGGAACAAGGGTGCATGCAGCGGCTTAGTGAAAATATCAGCAACTTGATGTTTTGTTTGCACATGAGCTGTCTGGATTTCTCCATTTTGAATTCTCTCACGAACAGTATGGCAATCCAATTCGATGTGCTTGGTCCGTTCATGATAAACTGTGGCTGCAATGTAGAGTGCTGCCTTGTTGTCACAAAGTAAGGTGGCTGGTTGACGATGCTCCACTTGTAGGTCCTGTAAGAGGTATCGCAACCAAGTAAGTTCACAAGTGGTGGTTGCCATGGGGCGGTACTCAGCTTCTGCAAACGACCTTAAGAAAGTAACCTGCTTCTTGCTTTTCCATGATATGAGTGACCTGCCAAGAAAGATACAGTATCTAGTAACCGAGCGCCTTGTAAAAGGACATCGTGCCCAGTCCGCATCACAATATGCAGTCAAGTGTAGTGGCCCATTCGAAGAGAATGATAACCCTTGGCCAGGAGCTCATTTGAGGTAGTGAAAGAGCCAACGTGCTGTGTCAAAATGGTGCTTCCAGGGCTCATGCATAAACTGACTCAGTGTATTTACTGCATATGTGATTTCTGGTCTTGTTATTGTCAGATAGATTAATCTTCCAATAAGTCTTCGATAATGAGTAGGGTCTTTAAGAAGGTCACTCCCTGTAGGCATAAGGGTAACATTGGCTTCCATATGAATTTTTTTAGGCTTAGCACCAAGTAAGCCCACATCTTCCAAGATATCTAGTGTATACTTCCATTGACAAAAAAGAAATGCCAAACTTGGACCATGCAATTTCAACTCCAAGGAAGTACTTTAAAGGTCCAAGGTCTTGATTTTGAAACAGTTGCCGAGAAAATGTTCAAGGTCTCGTATGGCATCATCATTATTTCCATTGATTATCATATCATCAACATATAACAATGTAACAGTGAAAGATTTACCACGTGGTTGTGTAAACATAGAATAATCTGCTTTGGATTGAAAGAAACCAAAATTTTGTATAGCAGATGAAAACTTACGAAACCAGCTTCGAGACGCCTGTTTGAGACCATATAAGGATTTGTGAAGACGACACACAGTGTGCTCTCCCTGTCGTCGATACCTCGGCAGTGGAAGCATGTAGACTTCTTCATGAAGGTCGCCATGAAGAAAAGCATTGTGCACATCCATCTGATGAAGTGGCCAATTGCAGACAGATGCAATAGTGAGAAGACAACTGACGGTGATAAGCTTAGCAACATGAGTAAATGTCTCAGTATAATCAATGCCTTTACGTTGGGTGAATTCTTTGCCGACCAAGCGAGCTTTGTATCTCTCAATGGAACCGTCAGAATTGTATTTAATTTTGAAAACTCATTTGCATCCAATCGGACGATGACCAGCTGGCAATGGAACTAAGGACCAAGTGTTCTTCTCCTCCAAAGCTGTGATTTCAAAATTCATGGCCTCAACCCAGTGTGGGTTATGTCGTGCCTCCTCAGAAAAATTAGAGTGAGATACATACCGAGTGATGGGGTTGCGAGTGCCAGACGTGATTGGGGAAGAAGCGCCAGGAGCAAGCAGGGCATCATGGTGAGCTTGGTTGAAGTGGGAAGGAGTTTTGGTAGGGTGGGTGGATTTACGAATAGGTGGGGGGTGGGTGTCGATGGAAGGTGAGGAGGGAATAGTGGGAAGATGTGGTGTGATGAGTGGAGACGACGCTGGGGTGTCAAGGGATGAATGAGACGCGTCATCTAATGCCACGGAAGAGGGATGTGGGGAGGGAGTTGGAGAATCAGATATGGTGAGGTCTAGGGTGACCTGGGTCTGTGGATCATGGGCGAATGAGGATTGTTGTCCAGATGGGGTTCTGGTAGAGATAATGGGCCATGGGATGGAGTGGGTAGGACAATAGTGTCATCTTCATTTTCGGACAGAGATGTAGAAAATGGGAATATATTTTCGTGAAAAACCACATCTCGAGAGGAAAGAAATTTGTGTGTACTAAGATCATAAAGACAATAACCCTTTTAACCAAGTGGATAACCAAAGAAGACACATCGACAAGCTCGTGCATCAAACTTGTGTTTGGGAAGAAGAATGGTAGATTTGTTGTGCAAGAGTTCATATGGGGATTTGTGTTTGAGTAAGGGTGTGGGGAGGCAATTTATGAGATGGCATGCAGTTTGTAAACTTTCCCCCCAAAAACGTAAGGGAATGTTGGCTTGGAAACGAAGTGCCCTACCCACATTTAATGGACCCAATATTTTTTATTTCTGCTTTTCCTCCATTGGGTAAACCAACAAAATCATGTTGAGTATTGATTGTGTTGTGTGTAGGTGCAAAACATGAAATATGATCTAAGGCTCCACTGTCCATTATCCAATATATATTTGAATGTGGGTCATGCTGTGAAAGATTGCAGGTGGATGTAACAATACCTGTTGCATTTGCAAGTGGAAAATTACCAGGTCGGTTGTGCAAAAGGGCGATCAATTGATTGTATTCTTCGGTAGTGAAAGTTGGGCTTTCTTTGGATTTGCTGTCATGCCCTAGAATTGGATCCTTTTCGACAGTGTAGGCAGCATGCCTTTTGTTTTTGGGCTTGACATTCTTGCCATGCAATTTGTGGCCCACAGGAAAACCATTGAGATAATAACAATTTTCAGCTGTGTGAGTGTCTCCGTCGCAATAAGAACACTTCAGAGACCTCCTTGAGTAGGAGCCGTGTTTGCCATCCCCAACACCAGGGGGTTTTGCCGCTGCTGAGTTGCCGAAGCTTATGCTGCCCTTGGTGATTGTATAGCGACCTGTTTGCATAGCATGGGATCCAATTTGACAGTTTGCCTCGTCCATCTGCCGCTCGTGTTGGAAGATCAAGCCATGAACGCGGCATATGTCGAGAATCGGTGACATCACCAGAAGAGACCCACGCGCAGTTGAATAAGGTTCGTTAAGACCCATTAAAAATTGCATAACTCTCTCCTTCTCTTCTTTTGAGGCACGTGCTTTGGAAACCTCGCAATTGCAGATGATGGGTTCATGATAGGAATCTAATTCATCCCATAGGGCCTTGAGTTTGGTGTAATATTCCGAAGTCGTAAGGTGCCCTTGTTGATGTTCGGCGATTTCTTGGCGGATTTGGTAAATCCTAAAATCGTTGCTCTATGAGAACCGGTCCTTAAGATCATTCCACACCATGGATGCACTGGTGCAGTAAAGCACACTGCTT